TCCGGGACTTCTCTGTTTTTATTTCTCTTCTTTTCCTTTCTTTCCCTTTCTCTGGATCTCTTTTCTCTTTTCCAGTCCCCCAGTCCCCCAGATCTCCTTGTCCCTCTACTCTGATTAAATCCGATTTAAATCAACCACCCCTGCCAACTTTTCAACTTGATTGTCCTTCGTTCTCTTGGATCTTGGATCTTACTTACTTCTTGTCGACCTCAGCTGTTTAAAGATCAGGAAGTTTGCCTTGTAGCTTTTCCTTCTTTCGCTGCAATCTTTCCTTTTTGTTATTGTGTTGTTGGCCGGCAGAGATAAAGGGAGAGACTTTAAAAATGTCCTCCCGCCGCGGCTTGAGTTTCACCACACTCCCGTTGCCGGGCGCTTTTGGGAACCCCCTTGAGGGGGGCACCACTTTGCACCGTCGGCCGGGTGTGGGTGAAAAAAGACCCTCCGAGACCTCAATCTGCCTCGTTAGGGAGGGGGTTTCAGCCCCCTGACTCAAAAGGAGCGCGGCTGTCTCCAGGAGCAGTAGGAGACACGTCCTCCGCCGTTCGGCCACCAACCGGAAGAAATACTTTTCAATCATGCAGATGCCAACATTCATAACAACACCTGCATTTCTGGTCTACAAAGGTTAATCTTGGGTTCCTACCCTTTGACTTGCACAGGGGGAAGAGAGTGAAAACATTTAGTAATGGGAAAACCTAGATTTTTCAAGCAGTAGACCAAAGTGTGCTACCATGCTTCTGCCTCGTGTTATTTATGTACAAACTGTGCTGAAGAAAGATGTATTTATAGATGGCTTCCAGGGAATCTCTATTTTTAGGCTAACAAAGCAGCCAGGTAAATTTTAGCTAAAATTGACAGGAGGCGATTAATGGTGTTATAAATATGTATTTTTAAAGTCCTAAAAAAAGATTCTGAATAATTTTGACAGGCTGAAATAACACAGTGATTAATTCTCTCTTTTTTTAAAAAAAAATCCTATAAAACTAATAAAATGAACTAACTAGTGAATGCAGTAGTCATAATCCATAGGCATTCTATGCAAAAGATCTCTTTTTGGAAGCAAAAGAGACCACAAGATGTTGTCTTCCTTGCTCAGGGGAAATTTTGTTTGAAGAGATGTAAATTGCCAAATGTAAAAGGGAAACCAGTACTATTCATAGTGCTATTGCAATTACTTCTTTAGACACAGAATCTCTGTTTTGCCCCACCAACCCCTCAATGTTGTATCTTCTGTGTTTCCACAAAAATAAGACACTGTCTTATATTTATTTTTCCTCAAGAAGACACACTATGGCTTATTTTCAGGGGATGTCTTATTTTTTTATCAAGTTGGTGTTGAGAGCCCCCACCCAGTAATTGGTCTGCACTGCAGCAGGGAGTTCCGCAGTTCCTGGAAGCCACAATCGGGACAAACTGATGAAATGTGCCCCAACAAACAGCTCAAGACTAGGACTGCTTTCAGCTTTCATCACTTTCCCCCAAGCCCTGACTTTGTAACTAATCCCTAATAAAAATACTTGAAAATTGCAACTTTAAAACCTTTCCACTTGATACTTTGTGTCCTTCACTGCCTAAGCTAATCAATGCATGAAATAAACCTCTTTCCAGGCTCTGGGCAACCGCGGGCCTGCCTGGGATGCCTTCCTGGCATCCCGGGGAGGCCGAATCTGCGTCAATCGGAACCGCGGATACCGAGATCTCCCTTTCAGATCTCAGTATCCACAAAAATCTCAAAATGGCGGATCGGCCCCATTTTAATGCCATATTTTTCTGTGCTTAATTCTTAACCAAACTGCTATCTTGCTTTTCTCATTTTGGATCCCTACGCCCGGAAAATAATCTTTTTGTTTTAAAGAATATAATTTGACAGAAAACAGCTGATTGTCAAATTTGCCGGCTTCGTGCAAACAAGCCTATTTCTCCTCACTGCTGCTCGTTCCTGCCTAGCTCCGCAACTGGGGACTTGCTGCGGCTGCCCCCAGGAGACCTCAGAGAGGGGGCCAGGCAGGAGGCCCAGTCCTTGGGAAGGAGTTATAGTTCCTCAAGGACCAAGCTATGGATTCTGTTACCAATCAACTCAGCGCCCATCTGCTAACCTCAGCCAAGGAAAAATGACTTTCTGCTGCTTGCTTTGGACTGCAAGCCACCTCCATTTCCACGAACTTTCCCCAGAAACATGGGATTCCAAGTTTTCAAATAAAAATCAATTATTTTATTAAATGTTTAGGATGTGGGGTGGGAATGGGGTTTTTCTATATGAGTTTTGTACTGATGATAAATGCATGAAATATCTCTTGTCTTCCCGCCTTTCCCCTTGCCTTTTGCCCTAGAAAAATTGTGACCAGAGATTGCTCATTGCCTGAGGGAGGACCCTCGCCTCCCTCAGAAACTAATCTGATCACTCAACAATTGCATGGACAATAACAAGTTGAAATATCCTGTGCTTGCTCTCTGAGTTTTGTCTGGCAGGCATAGGAAGTTACTGTGGACACTTTGATTAGATCACAAAAGGACAAGGACGACCCCCGGGGTCCCCTGTCCGGGCTCTGTTTGTTTCTTTTGCCAAAACCCATCAAGGACGCTCCTTATCTGATGCAAAGCAGGAAAACCTTTCTTAAAGAAAATCACTCTTTGCCAGCCAAAACAATGCCTCAAATTACAGCTGGCCGGCTAGCAATAATCCCATCATTGTCAACAATCGTCCCGCCTCCTCTCTCCTGATTCGTCCATCCTCGGAAGCGAGAGGACCCACTGGTCCCCCAGAGGCAGGGAAGCTTGCTGATTGGCCCAAGAGTGAGGCGGGCCGCCAAGCCTCCTCCCAGCTGTTCAGGCTGTCAACCAATCAGAAGAAAGCCGGGCGGGGAAGGAAGGTCGGGAAATTTGAAATGTTTTTCTCTAAAATGCCTATAAAAATGCCTGTAAACTCTGTACTGGTATGCTTGTGGTGGAACTATTCCTACAATGCATCCGATTTCAGCTGAATCGCTAATAAAAATGCCTCGGTCGCCATCTTCTTCCGCTTTGGCGAGGATTTATTATTTTTTATATTTTCTGCTGCTGGAATTGGCTTTGCTGCCCTCGCCAAGGTTCAGGGACCCTCTTTGGTGCAGTCCTCGGCTGAGGAGATCCCTCTAAAAGCGGCTCGATATCAAAGTATAGTACAAAAATCTGCATTTATGGGTTGATCTAACTAGGCTCCATAGCAGACTGCTTGCTGAAGCTTTCCCCCTATCCCCTGTTATTTGTGGGGGGGGGGGGAGAGACCCACAGACTGTTGATGGTCAGTGCTAGGAAGCAGCAGCTTTACTGGTGTTTGTGGGGAGTGAGAGAGAACCACAGACTGTTGATGGTCAGTGCTGGGGAGCAGCAGCTTTACTGGTGTTTGTGGGGGGTGAGGGAGACCCATAGACTGTTGTTGGTCAGTGCTGGGGAGCAGTATCTTTACTGGTGTTTGTGAGGGATGGATAGCCAAGCCTATCATGATGTCTTCTTTTTGGGGTATGGCATATATTGTGCAAATGCTTACAAATCTTGCTATGGCTTGTTTTATGGGTATGACTTATTTTCGGGGGAACAGGGTAACCTGAGCACAGGATTTGCTTGTGCTCCTCTCCTTGACTAACATAGACCTAGAATAAAGCCCAATAAGAAAGTGTGGATGTGGGTAATTGTTCAGTGTTTGCAATGTCTCTCTCTTGTACAGGATCGATGTGTAATTGTGTACCAGCATAAACATTGGTTGTTTTCTTCAGAGTCAAAGTCACAGTGACGGGGTGGTTTAGAGTAAGAGTAAAAGGAATGTCCATTTTAAACGCTTTGCCAAGGGAATTTTCACTTAAATCTAATCTTCTCACCGGGAGCAAATGGATGGAAATTAATTGAAATAACTCCTGCTGCTGACTCCCTTTGACCATAGATTATTTGAAGTGGAAATGTCCAGTGGGTGCTTTTGTGGGATCTCTGTCTTATCAGCTGAAACAGCTTTGGCTCCGTTCTGTCCATTTTTAACTGGTGAAAGAGTTTTATGTATGAGAGATTGCAGAACCCCTCCAGCAATAGCCAGGCTAATAAAAGATATAAATCACTACCGACCTATCTGCATCCAGTGTTCTGGTTATAGCTTTTCCTAAAGATGTAAAAACAGCAATAATTCAGGGTTTTTTTTTTTCAGCATCCTATTATTTCCCACCTTTTGTAATACCAAAATCCATGGATGCTCAGGTCTCATTCTATACAATGGTGCTGCAAAATGGTGCTGCTTTTATAAAATGGCAAAAATAAGGTTTACCTTTCGGATTTAAAAAAAAATATATTTTTAAGCTGTGGATGGTATAATCCATTCCCTGGATTCAAAAGGCTGACCGTACAACCAATTTAGGAGGGCTGTACAAAACCACAATGGCCAGCTTTTCAATAATCCCTAGTAAATAATTAGAGTTCTGGTAATCAACAAAATGACATAATATTTTGATTGCATTATTTGCTCTTCTGTGCTATTGTTTGGAGCCCCCAGCTGAACTTGCTGACTGAAAGGTCGGCATTTCGAATTCAGGGAGTAGGGTGAGCTTCCGGTATTAGCCCCAGCTTCTGACAACCTAGCAGTTCAAAAACATGCAAATGTGAGTAGATGAATAGGTACCACTCCGCTGGGATGGTAATGGCACCTCATGCAGTCATGCTGGCCACATGACCTTGGAGGTGTCTATGGACAATGCCAGCTCTTCGGCTTAGAAATGGAGATTTGCATCAACCCCAGAGTCGGACATGACTGGACTTAATGTCAGGGGACAACCTTTACCTACGGACATGGAACATGTCATATGAGCTACCAGGAGAAGACATGAGAGAAAGCGGTGTATAAAATGCAAGAGCCATTTATTTTGCGAACATCTACTGAGTGGAGAATTTCATCTTTCTTCATCCTGGCAGAAGTGCATTTCTAATTGTTTCAGAACATCCCCATAATTTTGACTCAGAACAAAACCAGCCCAAGTCGTATATAAAGGATGTATTCTTTTTATTTGAAAACATTGTACAGGCATTACATTGCCACAGCCAGTTCATGTTGGAGCATGCAAATATCAAAACAAAAGATAATTTGTTCTCAGTGAAAATTGTTGGACATTGTTTCTTTGTTTTTGGTACTTACTTCAATCTATAAGTGTCAAAATTAATGTGCTTTATTATGGCATTTACAATTAAAATCCTACCCATGGGGTAAAATTTGTATTTATTTAGCTAACTCAAGAATACTCAAATGTTTTTTAAAGAGAAAATACTACACACTTGTTGAAAATGTTAATGGCACAAGTTAGCAATATCTAAACTATACACTGAAGCGTCTTCATCTGACACAGTGGTGTAAAATGTCAATTACTTGGTCTGTCCTTGTTGGTAATTGTGGTTTTTAAGTCCATTGAGGAAAAACTGAGCTGCTCACTGCAGTTTTCATCTGAGATGTTTTGCTACTATCCAGTCAGCACCAACAAGAGAGCTGAACACATTTTTATTTTAGGAACTGGTCTATACAGTACTTACGAAGTCATTGTTTTTAGCTGGTGTTATAGCTACCTGGCGGACAGAAAGCTCTTTGCTGATGTCCACTGCAGTTCTTGGAATGGCAGGGAATCAAACAATTAGGAAAAAAATACATTTCATTGATGGCCCTTGCTTCCATTAGATAAGACTTACAAAGTTGTTCCAGTTTTTTAAAATGTACATAAACAGACAAACTGGATCTTTAACTTGAGATAGCAAATAATCCTCACAGTTTACCTGTCCTAATAACTGACAATGTTCACTAAGGATAGTCTATCAATCAGAAGCACTATTTGCACAGGGACAGTGCTGGGATCATATCCCAACAGCCCCAAGGTAGAGGAGCCCGGCAGATAGACTGCCAGACCTCTGCCTGAGATCTTGGAGAGCTGCTGCCAGCCAGAGTAAACATTGTTGGTCTGGATATAAGGCAGCTTCATAGGGTCATGGGCTCACTGATGTGCGTGAACACAGTTTTGTTAGGTGAACAGTGCAGCACTAAGCATTTCCCTGTGTCTCCAGTCAAATGGACTTCTTATGAAACGTTGTAGAAAAATAACCCCAGATTGCAACTTTTTAACCATCTGGGATTCCATCCTCATTTTGATTTTTTTTTTAAAAAAAACCCTTTGTCAATGAATTGAGTGGTATGCTGAGTTCCATCCAGTTTGTTTTCATTGAGACTTAATCTACAAATTAGTGTCACAAAAATGAGAAATTCAAAGAAAAACCCTACAAGAACATTTGGCTTACAAAATAAATACTAAAAATTGAGATCCTCCAAAAAAAGTCCCAATAAAGATGCAAAATAAACGTGTTTAAACAGAAAACCAACACACAAATTCTTCAAGAAGTGGTTAAGATCAAACATGAAACAGCAGACTCAGAGAAAGGTATTTAATTGGTACAAAAGGTAGCAAAAAAGACGGGGAGATGGCAATGTCCGTCAGTAGAATCCTGATTTGAAACCTGAGAAAACAATTAAGACCCCTTTCATGAACACACTTAGATACAGGTAAATCCTCTTCTTGGATTTCTATTCTAAGTGTATCAAAGTGTTTTCAGAACTGAGTCCTCTATTTGTAAAAAGTGGCTTGAGCAGAGGAGTCAAGCCAATATTTAAGCCTAAATGAAGTGCTAAGTTAAAGATGTAAGTGGTCTTCAAGCAGTGCCTGGGGCTTGGGCAACCCCCCCCCCCAAGAGTCATTTGCACGAAATGCAGGAATGATAGTCTAACAGGAACACCCCAGTTCTAAACATGTTACCTGAAAGCTGAGGTTGTGTAACTGCTTTATGGCCCGGATGCCAGTCCTGCCTCTTACCTGCCCAATATTACTTAGATGATGTCCTGTGCAGTAGAGTTTCAGCCCTCATGGTGAAGCTGAAGAGGGCTGATGGAAGATGCAAGGAAGAGTGTGGTATTTTTGTCAAAGATGTCAGATATAGAAGATTATGTAGAAGTTACAGAATTACTAGTTTGTATTGAAGTTTCATGTATGCAAAGTGAAGCTGAAGATAAAGGCCTCTTTGTAGCTCTGTGATCCATGGGACAATTGGTGCTATCCACTTAGCACTCAACATAAATGCTAGGATTTGTAACCTAGAGTTAATGGATCTATAACTGCTCAATAATTGTAGCAATTATTGTGCCATGATTGCTACAATCATAAAGTCCTCCCCCAGTCCACCTTAACATCTAGCGCCAAGAGCAAGAGTTGCTGATCAAGGTGCATTTCAAGTCCCCACCTATTTCATGGCAAGTGAGGCTCCATTTGTGATGGGGACCTGCTCCTTACACATCTGTATCTAAGTCACTTATATAGAATACCAGTGTATATAATTTTATGTAAATTGTGGGGCTCTGGTGGTTTTTAAATGATCTAATGGATGTGAAGGCTCCACACAAGGGAATCTTATTCCTAAAAGGAATGCATGTCTTTTCTCAGGGAGGCAATGAATGTGAACCCTCATGGTGATGTCTAAACACAACACAAGTTGGGTGCAAGCATGTGTGAATCTGGATCATCATGAGATTTGATATCCATGCTATGTAATTCTCAAGATAGCATTTATTTTAATTTTCAGAAGAACAATGCTTTCAGAGGATAATAAGTCGTACTTCCAACTGCATGCAAGAAGGAGGCACAAATCTTTTAGCAAAGACCAGTTCTTATCAAAAATCAAGTTTCCAGCTAAAATACTTCCGAGTCACCAAAATGCTACCATTTATCTTGGATGGACTGCAAACCCTGTATTTTCAGTGCTATGAATTTAAGAAAATGTTTCCTGGCGCTCTTGGGCTCATTCGGGAAATATCCAATTCCTTTCGAGTCTCATCTCTTTATTTGTATTCCCTGGAGGCAGGTAAACTAGTATTTTCCCATGGCCATCTGGAGACTAAGCTATAAATGAAGTTATTTGACTCTTCTACTGCAAGGAAATCTCTTGAAAACACTTTCCTATCACTGCGGCACAGATCCCTTCCCTGCTTCTTTCAAGGCATGTGGGCTCTAGAGAAATCAATGACACTTTTGTTTTCACTTAAGCCTCTATCCAAGCCCACAAATCAAGACTAGCCAAATGAAATCGGCAACATTTTTAGCCTCATGGGAAAGGGAGATTATTCTGGCTGTAGTGTTTGTAGGTAGTTGCTTACATTATTGCCTCTGAATTAAAAAAATCCTTCTAACCACAATCCAGCACACAGTAAGGAGTATTTGAAACCCATTCAAATATTCCTAGTCTTTTGCTTGGATTGTGAACTGGTGTCTGGAGCAACGCTAGCAGTTGAGCAGCTCCCCTACTGTGACTTTGGATACTGATGTCTTAGGGCAACTTCAGACACAGCAGTTCCCATACCAATTGGGAATAGTCAAGAGAACCAAAATGTATTTACATTTACCTAATGAAGGTAAAGAGGTATCTGGGACCTCATTGGCAGAGCAAGATGTGATTTTTCAGGAGCAAACAGCAAGGAACAAGTGAAACATTCCTTTTCTTTCTCCTGACTTATATAATTAAACTATGGGATGTCAAGCCTGTTCAATATTTTAAAACACTGGTTCATTGTGATTTTTGAACATACATTTGTATGTATAATGTGTAATTTGGTCTATCCGTAGAGAATGCAAACACGGAAGCTTGTTCGACCTTAAAGCTCGGTTTGAGACAAAAATGAGATGTCTGAGAAAGGATTAACTCTGCAAATGCTAGAATGATTTAATGCCAAGTCCTATTTCAATCTTTCTTACAGGTAAAAATATTTAGGATCAGGGTATCAAGTATTCAAGTGATTGCAAGGAGATAATCAGAGGCTTTGAAATGTTTTGGGCACATAACTATTACAGAAAGGATTCCATTGTGTCCTTGAGGGAAGCAAATCTTCAGCTGATTTTGCTAAACTAAATCTGGGCAAAGGGTAAATCTGCCCAGTGTACTTCTCCAAAACCCTTTTTAATTTCAGCAGAAAATGAGTCTGCACAGATATTTGGAAGTAGCCAGATTTGCTGGTTGCCATATATCACAGAATAACCCAAATCAGAGATGGAAGGAGTCTATAACCCCACTACTATACTAAAAAACTAAATACATATTAACCTTGCAACAGAGTATGAACTGAATAATGCTTAGAAAGGTTGCTTTTTGGACAAACTCTTAAAGTCTCACAGATGGCATTCTATGGCTGAAGGATTCTGAGAGCAGCAGAGAAGAAAAATGTTTCCAAGTTCTAGAACTGAAAACAATAAGATAACGTATTTCTCAAAGCAAATTTAGTATTTATAATTTATGAATCCTGGTCAATCTGTATTGAGCTTCCCTTCTCAGTAATGTACAGGTTTGGAAATGGTTACATGACGTCACACAAAGTATGGTGCAAAATGGTATGTGCAAGGAATGTACTGTTGAGGTGTCTGGCATCTGTGATGAATGTAACTCAACAATAACCAGTGGCAATGTAAGAGGGTCCCGTTTGGCAAATTTAACTGTATCAAAAAAGACAATAGAAAGGGATTTTGAAAAAGAAATACAATTAACTTAAGATTCTTCAGTGGGAAATGTGGATTGAACCACAAGACCTGCGAACACACTTGAATTCTTAACATTTTCTGAACAAATGAAGTCTGGTGCAATAGCAAACTATCTACTGTGTTCACCTCATATGTGGAAAGGCTATAAAACTGGACTCTATTCTCACCTCTTTAGGCACAAGTCCAAATTAAATATATATTTTTAAAAAAATAGAAAATGTGTTTCTTAGTAGATATTTTTTGAAAAAGGTAAGAAACTGGTTTTGTATTTGCAAGATTAAGACACTGAAGTGAGAAATGCAATATCCCCGTTACTAAGCCTTTACCATTTTACAAAGATGGATGTACATCAGTGTCATAGTTGTTAATATTTTGTAAAAAGGGGTTAAAATGTTTGTTTTCAACCTATTCCTAGAATAGAGATGAAGATTGGCAATTGTTCATCCCCTAGCTTTGGAGAATGATTTACTTCTTAGGGCAGACTTGCCTCACCTGACACCTTCCAGATGGCTGGCGATTATGGGATCTGTAACTGCTCACATTTGCAAAGCAAGAGGTTGGGGAAACCTGCCTTAATGAGTGAGCAGTCAGAAGCTATGATGGGAGAATGAACAAAATGGAACTAGGGTACAGGTATTGTGAGTAACCTGCCCTTTTCTATATGAAATAAACCATGATTGGTTGAGAGTGTCTCTGTGTGTGAGGACCTAGGGATTGTGGCACTCTTTAATTGTCATGTATTTCATTGGATGCAGCCAGTGCAGTTGAAGTGGGATGACAGTGCTATAATTATGTAGTGTGAAAGGCCTCCTACTGTACAAAGGCAGCTTTTGTTAAATATCATATAACCACTGGCAAAGCCAGGGCACAAGATGTGCAGAAACATCCTTTTGGTTTGTTATGGAATTCAGAGGCTTACAAAGAGTTTTGCCTTGTGGCATGACCGGCATCTTGTTACAAATGCTTGCCATTGCCAAGCATTTCACCCCCCAAGATCTCTTTTGAGCTCCTGGAACTCCTTGAGGGTTTGCAGTGGCAATTCCTGCCACCTTCCCTTCTCCAAAACAAAACAGCATAAAGCCACTCCTGAGGAAGAAGTAGGGGGCAAAGTGGTGGCACTGGTGAACATTCACAGTGGCGTATAGGGCACTGACTAAAAGTCTGGCAGGAATGGCTATTCCATGAGATTATTTGCCACCAAGGAGAAGTATTGATCTTCCATAGGAATTGATGAGTAGAGAGAGTGCCATTTGGTTCTTTTCTTCCAAAAATCCTTGGGCCCTGCAGTCAAAGACTCAGGTTCTCCAGTAGGAAAAGGTCTCTTTCCACAGGTCACTGAGAGCATCCACTATCATCTCTCCATTCTCTAGGTTTTACTTTGGGGAAGAGGATGTATGAGGCAGGAATTTAAGACTCATGAACAGAACTGAGTGCAACACTGTGCTCATAGAGGCCAGCAGCCATCTTGATCATGCCTACTTTGCAACTCAGCATCTGCTGAGGAACCTTTTGCCATGAAACACCAGCACACGGGAGAGGATTCTTGGGGGAATGTTCTGGAGAAGACACTCAGTTCAGATATGGCATCCACCAGACAAGTTGGGTGTTACTGTTACCAAACTGAGTGTGTAGCTGAGAACGTGCCCACTACATATAATCCAAGGGAAGCTTGGTGATAGGCAAGCTGTTCTACAAGCAAGCTTGCCCACTATTTCTGAACTTCTCACTAAGGAACCCACTGACAACTTGCGGAGGAACTCCACTTAAAAGAGCAAAAAGGCTGAGAGTCACTGCTCTTAGTCGTTCACACTTCAAAATAATTTAGTCTGTAATTTCACAAGCCTTCCCTATTTGCTACCTTGCAGCCTACCTGAGCAACTGCATCCGATAAATACCTTTCTCTATGAATGATACAGAGATAATGGAGATACACACTCCACCAAGGGGTGGCAAAGGCCTGCGCTTAGGCAACTCGGACGTGAGGTTCTTCTTCTGTTTCCTGGCCTAGGCTGGTGTATGTGACTGAAGGCTCTAGCTGCCCAGTGGCTGGTAAGTCTACAACAGGTCCAGAAGGGTTTCGGAACTGCTTGTACACCCGTGGATCTTGGGCAACGTACGTGGATGTGGAGGAGTACAGCACCAGCCCAACAAGGATCGTGAAGAATGCCAGCAGATAAAGTCCTGAAAACTAAAGAGAAAGACAATTAAAGCTAGTAATGAGCATGCCAATTATTATTATTATTAATAACAATAATTTTCATTTTGTACCCCACCCACATTTCTCCCACATTTTAATCATGCCTTTCGGGCTCATTCCCATGTAAGATGCCCTATCTTACATGGGAATGAGCCCGAAAGGCATGATTAAAATATAACACATTACAATATATAACACAGAATAAAACAACAGCATTATAACAAAAAATAAAAACAAACGTCATACCAACAACCAATGAGCCCTATGATAACAATCAGTTTCTGGGCACGGGTGGGCGGACTGGTGCAAAAACAATTGTGAGGATAGGGCTGATGGATAAAGTGCCTAGGTTATATAGCAGTAGTAAAGATAGAGGGCAGTATGAAAATAGAGCATTATAAATTTAGGTACAGAACAACAGTAAAGTGCAGGGGCAAGATTTTGTGTCCTGGTTGGGGCTAGCCTTTCTGGGGGATTGTCTAGCAGCATGGCATCAGAGAATGTAGCAAGTCAATATTATTTTATTTATTGATTTACTGTTTTTATATCCCACCCTTCTCAACCAAAAGGGGATTCAGAGTGGCCTTGCAATCAGCAACAATTTGATGCCATATCAGACAAATAATAAAATGAATATATACATTAAAACAAAAATGAAAAAGCAATAAAACATTAAAACACATTATTAAAATCATGCAATCCATAGACGTAGTCAAAAGCCGTTCCAGTTGTTATTGAGAATAATTCCACTTTACTTATTGCACTGCACTATTGGCCAAAGGCTCCCGGAGCCATGTTTTTACTTGCTTTCTGAAGGTCTCTGATATCTCAGAGAATACATCAGTTATATTGACGAAATCTTTCATCTGCAGATGGAAATACTATGTGAAGCTCCTCTGTACCAAATAAAAAATCAGGATTAAAAATAAAAATTTCAGATTCATAAAACACATTTTTTATCCTATATCATTTCATATTTTCAGTGGGGTATAAATAAACAAACATAAACATAATAAACATAATAATAATAATAATTTGGAATTTTACAAATATCTAGACTCTCTTTCTTACTATCAATATAGCCAAAAGTTTTTAGAACTTCTTGGTACAGAACAATGTTTTCTCTGCCTTGAAGCAATCAAGGCAAAAAGGAAAGTCAAGAAATGCTGCTCATTTTGGAAAGTTAAATGTTTTGTAAATAGGAACACAATAGCTGTGTTTCAATTTCTACCAAGAGATATCTGCATGGCCGCAAAACTGCCCAAAGATGAATTAAGGGTGCAGTCTTAGGTCATTACATAACAAAGTGGATAACTCAATGAAGTGAGTTACTTCTGAATAAAACTGCGATGGGCCAAGTGGAAGGTGATTATTTCCAATTATTATTATTCGTATTCTTCACCACAGTAGCAAGAAATAGCGATAAAATACTATCACATTCGTAAAACATATACAAAAACAGAGTTCAAGATAACTTTTGCCATTTCTAAGGGCAATCAGTTAAAACAGCACAAAAGCAAAGACTAAAAGGAAAAAGAAATAAGAACAAAATCACAATAACATTAAATTAAAACCATGATAAGACTCCACATGATGCTAGGTTCATATTTATGCCACCATTTCAAAGTGATCTGAGTTGGTATGTATTAAATACAGACATAGATGTGAGTTAGCTGCCTCTTTGTGAAGCCTGCCAATGTTATAGTGTAAAAGCTTTGAAGCAGACAAAGGAGCACCAGGGTTTCTGGCTGTGTCTGCAAATGAGGTAAGTCTAAATGGAATTGGAGCCAGCTTTTCTTCCACTCCAGAAATAAGCAGGAAATAAAGAGAGGAAACACTGCTTTCATATGTTACTGTGTTCGGTGATCAAAGGAATCTTTGGAAAAGGTAATTACAGTACCAGAATGAAAAATTAAACCTAAGGCAGTTCTAGAAAGTGGTGGAAAAAATCTGAATGTGAGATACTCACCAAGAGAATTTCCATAGACAGCCTCCACAAGCTGACTTCAAAATATTGTTATCTGCATTGATGCATGTCAACAAACTAGTTCTAGCAACATTTGTGATAGCAGAAGCAAGTATTTTATACTGATGATGGATCAATATTTTGCATTGTAACAAGGATAGATCACAAGACAACACAACAATATCAATCACTCCAACCCACCACAGCTATCGTGAAGATATTATTCATCTAGGTTCACCGGGGGGGGGGGGGGGGGGGGGGGGGGGGAGGCTGAAGGAGGTAAAAAGTGGTATCATAAACTCTGCTAAACAAAATGTTTGGTTGCTTCAGTTTCTGGATGTGCCAGAAAATGAAAAGCCAATTGAGTTTTCATATTCCTTTAATTTGATCCATCTTTTCACTACGAGGCAATTTCAGTCTTGCATGGTCTACTTTAAAAACAAGCAAACAAGCAAGCAAACAAAAAAACCCTAAAAACAAAAAAATCTAGAGCATGCATCCATATTCCGTTAATAACTGATCTATGCCAAAGCGAGTCTGATTATGCATTCTGCTAGAGGACAGGAGGAATGCTTTCTATTGGCAATGCAAGGTCCACATGGTCTAGTACAATGGTTCTCAACCTGTGGGTCCCCAGGTGTTTTGGGCTACAAATCCCAGAAATCCCAGCCACTTTACTAGCTGTTAGGATTTCTGGGAGTTGAAGGCCAAAACATCTGGGGATTCACAGGTTGAGAACCACTGTTTTAGTATTATTTGCAGGAATTTGGTGGCAAGATTTGTCCAGAAGGAGTTTGCCATGGGCTTTCTCTAAAGCTGATGGCCCTTCTACACTGCCATATAAACCAGATTATCAAATCAGATAATCTACATTATCTGTTTGAACTGGATTATCTGAGTCTACACCGCCATATAATCCAGTTCGAAACAGATAATCTGGATTTTATACAGCTGTGTAGAAGGGGACTAAGATAGTATGACTTCCCAAGATCATCCAGTGTATTTCCATAATCCAGCAGATTTTTGAATCCTGGTCTTCCAGTTTTCTAATCCAACACACGAACCATTGCATCATGCTTGCTCTCAGGAACACATTACAGGCCCTTCCACACAGCCATATAACCCAGAATGTCAAGGCAGATAATCCACAATATCTGCTTTGAACTGGGTTATCTGAGTCTACACTGCCATATAATCCAGTTCAAATCAGATAATGTGGGATTTTATACAATTGTATGGAAGGGGCCTAAGTTAGTCCAATTCCATAGAGATTTAAACTGGTGATCATTTGAGCAAATAATATTTCATTCAATTGTTACAATTTTGCCTGTGATGCATTTCCCTTACAAAGCAACACCAATCACTCCTCAACATGAGGATTAATATTAGTACATTTGATATGTTGACAGACGTTTTAAATACGTAAAGCTTTCTGAGCAAAGAAACGAAAAAGCAGCCCTGGAGCTCCTGATGAAGTCTGTACCTGCTGTGGCTTTATACAGGCATAACATAACAGGCATATTTCCAAAAGGGAGTTTCCTTAATGAGGAAAATCTGAAGTATGTCAGAAGAGTCGGAAGAATTGGCCTCAAGTTGTCAAGTGCTCTTCCCCTCAAGCATCTCACTTTGCTTTCATGCGCGACCCCACAGGGTGATCTCATAGAAGCACCCCATTGCCCTGTCTGCCAAAAATATCATTATCAAACAGCAGTCATACCAAAAGGTAGCTTTCGAATGCCACTGATCTCAGAGAAATGGCTTCAGTCAAGATTTCAGCACTGTGGGAATTACAGCTACTGCAATATCTGCTGGACTTGTGGAGCTTTCTGCTTTTAGACGTAAAGCAAACTGATCCCTTAGAACACTTGTTGATACTCATGCATGGAAGGCAAAATGCAAAAGCAATTGTTTTGTTTCCACCTTTAAAATGTCTGCTTGTTTATTTTTTTTCACACATGCTTTCCTCTTCCCAGTTCATAAAAAAGATGATTCCTGTGTTGCGATGCCTGCTTTTCTATCATGCTAGTAATGTCCTGAATATTGAGATGTTTTAGCATAGCCTTCACCGATCTAGTACTCTTCAGGTGTGATGGACATCTTCCACCATCCTCAGTTAGCATGTCCATTGAGGTAATAGAAATGTAGTTTGCTGTCTATAAGGCATCAAGTTGAGGAAGCCTACTCATCCTATTTTGGTTAGACTTTATATTCACATGGGGCATTAACAGCATGTTCAGTAAGGCAGTATACAGTAAGTACTTGTCATATCCAGTAATATCGGGAGGGGAGAAGCTAACTACCCATGAAAGATGACTACTACCACATCAGCTCTAGATTATTAAATATGGTTTTCTGTGTGTGAGCAGATGGTGATTACTGGATGGCATAAGTTCTGTATCAGAAACTAGAGCTGATGCGGTCCTATCAATGCAGTTTTCTGAATCAGCACCCCAAATAACCAAACCGAATTTAAAGTTGACCAAAAACTGATTGGTAACCCTTTTGGTAGTAAAGTTAGAGAGTGGTCCCCAGTCAAAGTGGTCCCTGGTCAAAAAAAAAAAAGAAAAAGAAAAGGTTGGGAACCACTGCTATAGAAGACAGTCATTTGACAGTGAAAGAAAATGTCTTTAGTGGGGCAGGCTCTCCTTTCCTGCAGATATTTAGAGAGAAGCCGGACAACCATCTTTCATGGGTGCCACAACTGCATCCTGCACTTCAGTGCTTGAATTGAGCAGAAAGTGGGACGGGGTGATCACCTCCCTACATTGCAATTCTTTGCTTCAAAATGATACTGGAGTTGTATTGTCGAAGGCTTTCATGGCTGGAATCACTGGGTTGTTGTAGGTTTTTTGGGCTATATGGCCATGTTCTAGAAGCATTCTCTCATGACATTTTGCCTGCATCTATGGCAAGCATCGTCAGAGGTTGCAGACCTCACAACCTCTGAGGATGCTTGCCACAGATGTAGTGACCATATGGCCATATAGCCTGAAAAACCTACAACAACCCCAATACTGGAGTTGTC